TTTTGGTCTCTGCCCTGTTTCTGCACTGTTTTTAGTTTCTGTTCTCTGCCTGCCATCTGCCCTGAACTTCTGCTCTTTTTTCACTTATACATGTATTTTACGTACCATGACCATTTGCTCACTTCTTGTAGGCTTTCAGCCATGACCTGTCACTGACAGCTGTCACTATGTAGTCAAACCTGAAGGTCACAGGAGCTCTGGAGAAGACTAGACACTGCAAGAACTTGTGCCTAGGTAAATGGCTTCTGACACCTGCTGGTAAAACAGATGTCCTACCTCACACTTGTCAAACACAAGGCCCATGGGCCGAATCCAGTCTGCCAGACCATTTCATGTGACCCTCGCACCTCTCCTACTGCTGCGGCACCCCCCTCTTTCCTGCCCCACCTTGTCTCTGCAGTCGTCAGCAGAGAGGAGGACAGAACTCCTCAAGCAGATCCTGCGCTTCTCTGTGCAGCCTCGGAGAGGCTTGTCTCTTTACACCCCCAACCCCCCATCTCAGCAGTCAGCAGCAAAGAGAAGGACAGAACTCCTCTTACAGATTGTGCTCCTTCCTGTGCAGTGGCAGGACCCCTCGACTCCGCCTCCCCTAGTCTCAGCATTAAAGCGATTCTAAAGGTATATTTTTTTTGTAAAATAACAAACATGCCTATACTTACCTGCTGTGTGCAATGGTTTTGCACAGAGCAGCCTGGATATTCCTCTTCTCAGGTCCCCTGCAGGCTCTCCTGGTTCATCCTGTCTGTCAGATGCCCCCACAGCAAGCAGCGTTATGGGGGCACCCGCTCCTCTGTGTGTCCATTCACACACAGAGCCGTGGCTTGGCCCCTCCCCTCTCTCTCCTCATTGGCTGACTGGCTGTGATTGACAGCAGCAGGAGACAATGGCTTCCGCTTGCTGTCTCAGCCAATGAAGAGGCAGAGACCTGGGGCAGCAGAGGCTGTCATTCACGTAGCTGGATCACGATGAGGCTCAGGTAAGTATTGGGGCTCATGCAGCTGATAAACTCACGTTTAGGAACTGTTCAGCGTTTTTTTCAGCAGCCATGTACACATCATCGTTTACAGTCATTTACAGGCATTTGAGTTTACAGTTGTTTTTTTGAAAGCAGAAAACTTGTGTTCAGCAGTCGATTTTATCAGCGTTTCAAAAGCAAAACGCGGCTAAACGCGGCAAATTGCGTTTATAAGCATTTGCAGCTGAAATTTTTTTAACTCTTCCAGTTCCCAATGCTGTCCAGAGCCTTTTTTCATCATGAAAAATGCATGCAAAGCATTCTCGATGTACTCAGATGGACAAAACCTTAACACAGGATGTTCCCACCAAGCTTGTCACACATTGTAATGACCAATTCACATCTCAGACCTCTCCCACCCTTGGAAACAAAAGAGCTGTTAATGACCATTCACACCTCAGACCTCTCCCACCCTTGGAAACAAAAGATATGCTAATGACCATTCACACCTCAAATTCCTCATGAAGACCCCCTGCCAGGTGACCTTAATGACTCACTTCACCAGACACCTTTCCCACCCTTGGAAACACATACTGCTGTGTCTGCTTCTACACTCTGTATTTCTCTGAAACAGTCTGAAATAGTTAATAATTTACCACTTTTCAGTGCATTCTGGGCATTTGGGAGGTTCTCCTGTGCTTATCTTTAAAAAAAGCTTCTACACGCAAATGCACATAAACGCGCATAAACGCGTTATGCAAATGCAGCTAAACAGACTTTTTTTAACCTACTTTTTCCAGCAGTCAGTTTCCATCATTCAGAAGTGTCTTATGTACATGGGGCCTTAGAGGGGCTGGGACACTGATGTACACATAAGGTTTTTTACCTTCATAGAATGCATGACGGTAAAAAAAACTTGAGCCTTTACTACCACTTTAAGCAGACTCCAGCAGCTGACTCCAGTCCTCCTCCAGACCCTGCACCTTCTGCTTCTTCCTGACAGCAGTACAAGGTAAGGGGAGTGCACTGATATACGGGAGGGTGGGGGACGCTTGATTTCTGATGGTGGGGGTGCTCTTGACATCTGATGTAAGAGAGGGTGGAGTGCTCTGGGCATATATTCTTAAAGATACAGCCTGTCCTTTGAGAGCAACCATAATGCTGATGCACCTGTGAATAAATTGATTTTGGCATCCCTGTTCTATCTCATTATGTGACACTCTCACCCCTCCCTTCGTTATATGGCTGTTTGACTTACCTACTAGTTTACTTTCCTCAAACACTGACAGGTCTGTGTTCCCCCTCGTAGATCTATCACCGCTGCTCCATACTTCTCCTAGTCTTCTTCTACTCAAGCTCCCCCTGTCTTTGGCCATTAGCTCCCCTCTCTTTGGCCATCGGGAGGACACTAATAATGTAGCTCTCAGACATGTGCAGCAACCTATTCAAACATTGCAGGAAGGGAAAGAAGTTCTTACCTGCTAGCAAGTTTTACCTTTTTCTTTAACTCCTTGGCGAAGGCCGCACTCATATATGCGGCCTCTTGGTGGGTGGGCCCTAATGCAGAGAGGCCATATATAAGCGTACCTTAAGGTAAACAGACCTCTGAAGAGAGCGCACACCACGCATGCTCCTAGCACAGTTACCGGCAGCTAACGGAAAGCTCCGGATCTCTACTTGCAATCAGGGCCTTCCCGATCATGTGACCACTGTGACAGCTAATAATGGTGGTCACATGATCAGAAACCCCATCCCGCCTCCCGGCATCTAAAACCCCTTAAAGGGCCTGGAGGCACTAGCGCCAAGGGATTAAAGCAGAAATAAAGTCCCAAAATAAAAAGCTGTTAGGAATTTGTGTTTTCTGGCAGAACAAATATGCAAAGTCTCTTTTTGCCAAATATTTTCTCAGCTGCTAGCAGTTTTTAATTTTCTATGTACTTTGCTTGCACCATGCACTGTACAGTCTCAGCCAATATCTGGCATCTGTAATAATGGAGCCAGGTGAAGGGGACAACGTAATACCTGTGCAAATGCTCATAGGTGTTACATCATTGATGGCAACCTGTAGGGATCTGCTGCTCTCTACTATCTGTATTTTTAAGTGGCTGTGCTTATTGATTACCACATAGTTAGTTTGGTTATAGACAGGTACTTCCTGTCCCTGCTAGCTGGGTCAGAAACTTTGATTGGAAGACTGCCATGTTTATAAAAGGGGAGTTTTCAGGAAGTAGAGATATAACTAAACCATATAACATTATATATACAGGGGCTGCTACTGCTGTATTTTCACCCAGACCAGAAGCAGAGACTATTAGGCAAGTATTCCTATGTTCAAATAGTTTAACTGCAGCTGCCCATAGCTTCTTGAGTGTGTATCGGAATCCTTGTGGCAGACGTATTCTGTCCTATTGTTATTATCTCACATGCAAAGTGACAGATAGCAAGGTTTGTGCTACTGTATGTGTGTAATGGTCACCGAGATGTATGTTAGTAAGTGAACCTTTTTATCACAATAGAGTTTATATGCAGCTCTTGTTATTTTAGTTAACCCTGACCATTCTTGGATTCTATAGCTACTTTTAGCTCAAGGCTCAAAGCCCAGCATAGACTAGAGCCAGGTTAGGCATCTGATGGCAACGTCTGGTAGTTAAAAGCTAATAGGCACTATAATGCAGCGCAGATAGGCTGACTCTGAGTTACAGTGCCACAGTACAGTTTTTGCTTGTGAGAAGCTGTATTCCAGCCTGGTTGGACAATGGTTAGAGGATCCCCCCATCGCAGCTGATCTTTTCCTCAGGTCTCCAACACCAGGACAGATGCCTCATTGCGATCATCCTCAGGGGCCCCTGCAGCCGAACCTTGCTGCACCATTCCTCTGGAGGTATCTTAATTAAAAACTATGTATTTGTACACAATTCCACCAAGACTCCTTTTGGGTCCTTTCCTGATAATACCTGTTTGTACATTGGATGCATGTACTAATATTAATCTCTTCTTATATTAAGCTTGTATTATTTCCATACTGGTGTGCATCTATTTGGGTAAGACCATTTCTTATAACCCACCCAAAGAGGGCTACACATCAATGGTCAAAGAGCAGAATCACAAAATCCTAAAGCGACAGCAGAGGAGATGGTGACATGAATCGGCACCTGGAGTCTGGACCTGTCATGAGTGAAGGTGGGCACTGTGCATATGGTATGCTGCACATTATGGCAAGAACCCACCCAGAGAACTTTCATTCCACTTTAATATAAATAGCTATATTCAAAGCCTAGAGGGATCATTTGTGGTAAAAGATGAATTTTCAGTGTGCAGGTTTTATTATACAGTAATAGGGACAATGGCTTGTTGGTGTACCAGTGATAATTCATACTCACTTCCAACTTCTCTGTCCAATGTTCATTGAACCAATGGACTAGATTTTCTTGATATACAGTGTAAAAACTTTAAAATTATATTTGATTTCATATATGTTTCTAGCTGCGAAAATTTCTATACCTAGACACTGGCGACAATCAGTCATTCCCCTTGATTATGTTAAAAAGAAACTCAACTGGATCATGGTTAACAGCAAACTCACCTGTATCTTACACAATAATTCGAAGAAATTCGATACCACGTGGGGACCGTGGATTCATTACCTCTCTGTGCCTTAATGACCCTCAACTTGATTTTCCTTTCTATTCTTTGCTCTTTCTACTCCTTTTATATTGTTCTATATTATGTATATTGTGCTAGCAAGACGAGCTGTACTTGACTATGTTTCGGCCGCCATTTATGTCTTGACTTCACTACCATTTGTTATGGCAGAATTTGTTGCTTTGGTGTTTTTATCTGTATATATGATGGCACACTCTTTATTGATGGTAATTGTTTAATTCTGCCCTATTTCCTTTGTAAAATTATTCAATAAAAAGTATTGAAAAGTGAAATTATATTTGATGTTTTTGTTACCACTTTATTATTTTGCAGAATCTCTGTGATGTGTCTGTGCACCCTCGAAATGATATTATGCATGCCACATGGTTATGATGAACACAGACACAGCAGACCTGTCCCTTTAACCCAGAAAAGAGCAGGAAAACAGCAGAGTCATTCTGCATTTGGAGCAGTAATGGAAGCAGCCTGTACAAAATCTTTTCCACCCATCTTAGATTACAAGACAGAGAAATACGTGCTGACAAAGAACAGGAAGGTCGGAGTGTTTCTTCGCCTGCTTCATCTGGGCATTTTATGTTATATTATTGGGTGAGTTAGATTTGATTTTCTAACACAATCATCTAGAGGATGTGAGAAATTGAATTCCATAAATGACAATAGGCTACACTGATGAAGATGATGTAGATAAAATAGTTGCAGTAATTGACCTGGCTAGATAAAAAGCTGATGGATAGACAGAATGTAACGTGACGATGTCATTTTTAACTCTTCATGAAAAATGCTGAGTCTTCAGGGTTTTATCATGATGCTGTATAGTAAATCAAATGCTAGGCAGTGAAAGTCATGGCTTTCGTTGCCTCTGTCCCCACACTAGGTAACATGGCATAACTAGACCATGATGGTTTTTTCTTCACTGCTGAACATTGCTTCTGTAACCTGCACTTTGATCATGCTTTCCCATTCATGAAAACCAGCAATGTGAGGGAACATTACATTTGAGGCCTGAACCCCCGGTTCACATCTATGCGGCCGTTCGGGATGCGTTTTGCATTAGCACGAGAGCCCATTCATTTGAATGGACTCCCATGCCCGTGATACGCAGGGAAGAAGTCCCTGCATTTCTTTGGAAAACACAATCCGCACGGGAACCTCGGTTCCCAGTACGGTTGCGTTTTCCAGTGTGGGCGGCTTGCCATTAGAACTAATGGCACCTGCCCGCGGGTCTGCATTTCTCGGGTGCTGCGGCTGCACGTATTATCCACAGCGGCACCACCCGCACAGATGTGAACCTAGGGTAATACAGTACATGGACCTACCTGCTAAATATACCTAGAGTGGAACTAAACCCTCCTATCCTTTACAGCCAGGGAGACTGCCATGTTAGGCTCTGTTTGATATGACATGTGATTAGTTATAACACCAGCCATTTGATGGCACGACAGTTCAGTTGAGGCATGCCTTTAATGCAACAGTTTGGGGAAACCGATAAATCAATAGGTTTAGTTCTGTTTTAAAGCAGAACTACAGGGAGCTACACTCACCTTTCCTCCAATGGTGCTCGTCCCTTGCTGGCACTTTCATCTTCTGTGTGCCATTTTTTGGCTATCTTCATTGGCTGGTGCGAGGTGACGTCACTCCTGCGCGGGAGCTAGTCATCCCGGCACAAAGGGCTTGGGCCTACTCTGTAAGCTGAGCTGTACATGAGCAACTCAGTTTACATGCTGGGGAGTGCTAAGAGCAGGCAGGTAGGTGCATCCTATTGCATGTCTCTTCTGCAATAAAGAGGTTGCCTGCTTGCAGTAAATAACAGTGGAAATTTACTTCCACTTTAATACAATCATAAACGTGTGTACACAGGAGACCTGTCAACTCATCTCTCATATTAGACATACAGTACATGACTGCAGGCTCTCTGGCGGATTAAATTCAGGTGACTCACTGACCGAAACTAATTAAAGTTGAATTCCGGGCAAACAGCTGATTTATCCTTGACAGCCAGCACAGCATGGTGGGTGACCACACTTTAGTCCACTGCATCTAAGCAGTACAACTTGGTCACTGAATTGCCTGTAGCTTGCTGATTGGAGGATGGGGAAGTATAATCACGAAGGGGAAGCTATCACTCAGCTCAGAACCTGATACACCAGTGCATTGTGGTAGCACTATGTGTGTTCAATGTGCATTATATGCCCAAGTTCTGAAAAGTACTGAAATTAAGTGTGTGGCATTTTTTCACTGCAGTGCAGTGCACAAATGATTCACCAGTTATGGAAGTGACTGGCCATTATCGTGATTTGCTGAATGCTGAATGCACAAAGTTACAGAGAGTATTTCAGGTAGTGATTAGTTGCAGCTGCACTCGGCTGATCGCTGCACAGATCTATTTATACATTTTCAAGTTCAAATATACTGTATTCTGTGTATGCAGATAAAAAAAGAAAGAATTATGCATTCCCCTCCAATCTTGTACTTTTGTCACTTCACCAGTAGGCAATGTATGTCCTTTATTTAGACCAGGAGTTCTTACCACCTTTCATTCTGGGCAGCACAGTGGCTAAATGATTAGCACTTCCACGTGGCAGTACTACAGTTGTTGGTTTGAATCCCAACCATGGCACCAACTGTCTGGAGTTTGCATGTTCTCCCTGTGCCTGTGTAGGTTTCCTTCGGGTATTCCAGTTTCCTCCCACACTCCAAAGACATGCTGGTAGGTTAATTGGCTCCTGTCTAAAATTGGTCGCAGTATCTGTATGTATGAATGTAAGTTAGGGACCTTAGATTGTACTCTCCTTGAGGGTTAGGGACTGATGTGAATGGATAATATGTATATAAAGCGCTGCATAAATTGATGGCGCAATATAAGTACCTGTAATAAATACAGTTGCAAGAAAAAGTATGTGAACCCCTTGGGATTACGTGGAGTTTTGCATGAATTGGGCATAAAATGTGCTCTGAACGTCATCTAAGTCACAACAATAGAAGAATACAGTCTGCTGAACATAATACTACACAAACATTAGATGTTGCCATGGTTTAATTGCACGTAACATGTAAACATTCACAGTGCAGGGAGGAAAAAGTATGTGAGGCCCTAGCTTAATGACTTCTCCCAGAGCTAATTGGAGCCAGGAGTGAGCCAACCTTGACTCCAATCAGTGTGATGATATTGGATGTGTTGCTGACAGCTGTCCTGCCCTTAAAAAAACACACACCTGCTTTGGGTTTACTGGTTTCAAGAAGCACTGTCTGATGTGAACCATGCCTCGCAGAAAAGAGCTCTCAGAAGACCTACGATCAAGAATTGTGGACTTGCATGAAGCTGGAAAGGGTTACAAAAGTATCTCCAAAAGCCTTGATGTTCATGTGTCCACGGTAAGACAGACTGTCTACAAATGGAGAAAGTTTAGCACTGTTGCTACTCTCCCTAGGCGTGGTCGTCCTGTAAAAATGACTGCAAGAGCACAGCGCAGAATGCTGCATGAGGTGAAGAAGAATCCCAGAGTGTCAGCTAAAGACCTACAGAAATCTCTGGCACATGCTAACATTTTTGTTGACACATCTACAATAAGGAAAACATTAAACAAGAATGGAGTACATGGGAGAACACCACGGAGGAAGCCATTGCTGTCCAAAAAGAATATTGCAGCACGTTTGAAGTTTGCAAAAGAGCACCTGGATGTTCCACAGCACTAATGGCAAAATATACTGTGGACAGATGAAACCAAGATTGAGTTGTTTGGGAAGAACACACAACACTATGTGTGGAGAAAAAAGGCACAGCACACCAACATCAAAACCTCATCCCCACTGTAAAACATGGCGGAGGGAGCATCATGGTTTGGGGCTGCTTTGCTGCCTCAGGGCCTGGACAGATTGTTGTCATTGATGGGAAAATGAATTCTAGAGTTTATCAAGACATTTTGCAGGAAAACGTACGACCATCTGTCCGCCAACTGAAGCTCTGCAGAGGATGGGTGATGCAACAGGACAATGACCCAAAGCATACAAGTAATTCAACAAAACAATGGCTGCAACAGCACAGAATACGCCTTCTGGAGTGGCCCAGTCAGAGTCCTGACCTCAACCCAAATGAAATGCTGTGGCATGACCTTAAGAGAGCGATTCACACCAGACATCCCAAGAATATTGCTACACTGAAACAGTTTTGTGAAGAAGAGTGGTCCAAAATTACTCCAGATCGTTGTGCAGGTCTGATCTGCAACTACAGGAAACGTTTGGTTGAGGTTATTGCTGCCAAAGGAGGGTCAACAAGTCCAAAGGTTCACATACTTTTTCCTCCCTGCACTGTGGAATGTTTACATGTTATATGCAATTAAACCATGGCAACATCTAATGTTTGTGTAGTATTATGTTCAGCAGACTGTGTTCTTCTATTGTTGTGACTTAGATGACGTTCAGAGCACATTTTATGCCCGATTCATGCAAAACTCCAGGTAATCCCAAGGGTTCACATACTTTTTCTTGCAACTGTAAATACTAAATTTCCCTTAGGCTTTGTTCACACCATGGAGGTTTCCGTTCATTCCTGTGTGTCATGTTTAGGGCAGCTGAATAGTTTCAGTGGGCTTCCCTATACCCAAGAAATGTCCAGTAAAGGGGACTGCACCATTTTAAAAACCATGCTGCATCAAAATACATGTTACTTGTGATACCATGCATTTTGGTATGTGCGAATGCATGCGTTATAAAGATGCATGGAGGTGCCATTAAAAATGAATGTTACTGCTGCTTGTCTCTAAAAAAAAGCAGTGCATATTTGTGCATTGAGGGAAAGCCCACTAATTTGTGCATGTTCCTGCAATGCAACGATTGTGACCCAAGCCTTGGTAAATACGTACAATAATAATTATTTAACACATGAAATAGATCCTGATAGACTGCATTTGTTGAACAGGTGGGTGTTTCTTGTAAAGAAGGGATATCAAGAAAGTGACTCTGATCCTCACGCTTCTGTGATAACAAAACTCAAAGGATCTTCAGTCACTAAAGACCCCGGGAATATCAGCAAAGGCTGTGGGATGTGGCAGACTTTGTAAAGCCTTCTCAGGTAAGACTTTTTATTATATAGCATTCAATCAGTTCACATTCCTGCCATTGTTAGTCTGGGTTCACATAGAACGGTGGTTTTTTAAGTTTATTAAAATATATACCCCTATATGGAAGCCAGTGTTTACTGAACACCTCCCAGTCTAGATCACATATCCTCAAGTAGCCTTTGGATTGAGTACATTTACTACCAGTGCTGCCTATGTATAATGGTTCATATCGAGGGATGTTCTCATCAAATGCTATGGTTTTTTTTTTGTCAAATCTGCTTTTCCATTTGAGTACATGCAGCTGAGTTTGAATGGAAAATAAGTGTTTGAGAAGAAAAGGCTGCTTTTGTCTGTATTTCAAACCACCTCAGTAAGAGATTCTGCGTCCAAAGAAACACACAACAATGCAGAGCAGGTCAGATGCAGCCTCTGAACTATCTTGTGTACTCAGTTAAAGTCAATGTCAATGCATTCCAAATGCAATTCAAGCGCAAAAAAACAAGTCTTTGGCATGATTGCTTTTTAACCACTTGCTACCTGCCGTATAATCAATATATAGCCTTATGACAGCTCTCTAGTTCTGCGATGGCGTCCCCGGATGTCCTCCCATGTGCACGTATTAGGAAATCTCTGTGACTGCTGTGTGCCTTGGACACAGTGGATCACAGATCGGGGTAAAGAGCCAGTCACAGCCACCCTTTATCACTGTGTCCAATCACAACTGTCACAATGTAACCAAACAATAGGTCCTTTGCCATTTACCAGCTCTCCTTTCCTCACAGAGACCATGCGTGAGGGAAAGAGAGCCAATCTGTGCAGGATCAGGGAGTCTGTTTACATACTGTGATTTTTACAGTGCCACACACCAGTGTAACCTCACCAGAGTCCTGATCTACTGCACCAATTATGCACACCAATGCAGTCTTGTCAGTGTATCCACGCCAGTGCAGACTTATCAGTGTCCTGATCAGCCATCCCACTGCAGCCTCATCAGTGTTATGATCAGCCATGCCAGTGCAGCCTCATCAGTGTTCTGATCAGCCTTGCCAGGGCATCCTCATCGATGTCCTGATCAGCCATGCAAAAGTAGCCTCGTCAGTGTCCTGATCAGCCATGCCAGTGCAGCCACACCAGTGCAGCTTTATTGGTGTCCTGATCAGCCACGTCAGTGCAGTCTCATCAATGTCCTGATTAGCCATGCCAGTGCAGCCTCACCAGTGTGTCTTGATCATCCATGCCAATGTAGCCACACTAGTGCAGCCTCATCGATGTCCACATCAGCCATGCCAGTGCAGCCTCATCAGTGTTCTGATCAGCCTTGCCAGTGCATCCTTATCAATAATAAATACTTGTGAGCTATAATAAATGAGGTCTTCAGTGAATAATAGATAACTAATAAATAATAATCTACTAGTGTCATGCGCTTGGTGCGCTGGCACTCACACAGACTCACTTTCTAGTGTTAATACAGTAACAAAATTATTAATAGTGCCGCGCTCCTATTGCTATATATAATATAATAAAGAAATATAATAAAAAATTATAAAAAAATTCAATCTACTCTCTTCCAATAATTATATATATTGAAACCTCAACAAAATCCATAGATCACTATACTTAGTGGGTAAAAAATATATAATCACTGTGACTGGTGAATCAAAAAATAGATTATAAAAGAACCTTAATACATAAGGCTAATCTCAATCAAATGATAATTGAAATTAGAGTGTGTATAAATACTTGGTGCCACTCATCAATCCTTCAATATTGTGCAAAAACATATATTGATATTATTGTGCAAGTGCAAACTTAATAATACATAAATAAATAAAAAGTCTTTTGAAGTAAGTGCAATGTGCAGGTGAGTTCCTTATTCCCTTTTGCCTCAGGTGCCTTGTGATCTCCCTATGCGCTCACCTTAATATTTGCCCAAATAAATTCAGGCAAATAAGCTTTTAATCCTTCCAGGATTGATGGAATAATGCTCATGTATAGGATGTTTCCACGAGGTAAGTGTAGTTCTATTATGGATACTCCTGTACTCTCCCTCTCTCTCTTGGATCCAATCATTTCCCCCTGATGAAGTCACGTGACCCTGTGACGCAACGCGTAGGGGAGGGGCTCTGACGTCACAACGTTGCATCGGAGAGGCTTGGAGATTTCAGTACGGACAGAGGCAGGCAGAGAGATAGAGGCACAGGAAGAATTTTGCTCACTCACTGCTAATTGCGTTTGCTTATGCTGTCCTGGATCACCAGAGAACCTTAACATGCTGTGAAATACCATTATTGGCAGTAATAAAATTCTGCTACAAAAAAGGATAAGGCACCATGGTCTTTTTTTCTTTGTTTCTTCATCTGATTTACATTCCCCACACTGGAGAAAGGAGGATATGAGAAGGAGGTGACCCCAGGAGGGGAACAAGGAGATCCCTAAAGAGCTGGTTTAAATACTCACCTATGAGCAGCAGCCTAAGGAGAGAGAGGAGAGTACAGGAGTATCCATGATAGATCTACACTTACCTCGTTGAAACATCCTATACATCAGCATTATTCCATCAATCCTGGAAGGATTAAAAGCTTATTTGCCTGAATTTATTTGGGCAAATATTAAGGTGAGCGCATAGAGAGATCACAAGGCACCTGAGGCAAAAGGGAATAAGGAACTCACCTGCACATTGCACTTACTTCAAAAGACTTTTTTATTTATTTATGTATTATTAAGTTTGCACTTGCACAATAATATCAATATATGTTTTTTGCACAATATTGAAGGATTGATGAGTGGCACCAAGTATTTATACACACTCTAATTTCAATTATCATTTGATTGAGATTAGCCTTATGTATTAAGGTTCTTTTATAATCTATTTTTTGATTCACCAGTCACAGTGATTATATATTTTTTACCCACTAAGTATAGTGATCTATGGATTTTGTTGAGGTTTCAATATATATAATTATTGGAAGAGAGTAGATTGAATTTTTTTTTATAATTTTTTATTATATTTCTTTATTATATTATATATAGCAATAGGAGCGCGCGGCACTATTAATAATTTTGTTAGTGCATCCTTATCGATGTCCTGATCAGCCATGCAAGTGTAGCCTCGTCAGTGTCCTGATCAGCCATGCCAGTGCAGCCACACCAGTGCAGCTTTATCGGTGTCCTGATCAGCCACGTCAGTGCAGTCTCATCAGTGTCCTGATTAGCCATGCCAGTGCAGTATCACCAGTGTCTTGATCATCCATGCCAATGTAGCCACACCAGTGCAGCCTCATCGATGTCCACATCAGCCATGCCAGTGCAGCCTCAGCAGTATCCTGATCAGCCACATCAGTGCAACCGCACAAATGCAGCTTTATCAGTGTCCTGATCAGCTACGGCAGTGCAGCCTCATCAGTGTCCTGATCAGCCATGCATGTGCAGCCTCATCAGCATCCTGATCAGCCATGCCAGTGCAGCCTCTTCAGTGTCCTGATCAGCAACGCCAGTGCAGCCTCATCAGTGTCCTGATTGGCCACACCAGTGCAGCCATGCTAATGCGGGCTCATCAGTGTCTTGATCAGCCACGCCAGTGTATCTACTCCAATTCAGCATCATCAGTGTCCTGATCAGCCACACCAGTGCAGTCTCATCAGTGTCCTGATCAGCCACACCAGTGCAGCCTCATCAGTGTCCTGATCAGCCATGCCAGTGCATCTACCAATTCAGCGTCATCAGAGTCCTGATCAGCCACACCAGTGTCCTGATCATCCATGTTAGTGCATCTACACCAGTGCATCCTCATCAATATCCTGATCAGCCATGCCAGTGCAGCCACACTAGTGTAGCCTCATCAGTCTCCTGATCAAGCACTTTCTGTAAAAAAAAATAAATTAAAAATTAAATTCTCCGCAGTCCTCCACAGGAACCTGTTCCTAGACTAAACCTGTCTCCCTAAACCGAACCTGCCTACATGCTTACTGTGTAGTATTATTTCAGTTTTGTAGTAATGATTCAGTGCTATGGATTTCCTCTGGCAATCCCCCTGCTGTTGCCAGCTTATCTGTTAAAGGATTCCCTGCTAAAGTCAGTAGTGTCAAGACCTAATTTTAGAAGAGGAAACTATGCAATCAGCAAGGGAGGGTTAAGACCTAAATCTAAAAGAGGCAACTATGCAATCAGCAAGGGAGGGTTAAGACCTAAATCTAAAAGAGGCAACTATGCAATCAGCAAGGGAAAATATACCAAAAAGGTCCTTCAGTGAGCTGAATCACCCCCTTAGATTTGCCTAGTGAGTATAATTTTACACACAGGGCCCACATCACCTTCCGCTAACAAAATAACTAGAATTCAGTGAAAGTCTCTTTAGTGATACTGCTTGACCAAATGTTTCAGGTTTCGTTTTCTATTTATTGCAGGGAGAAAATGTCCTTTTCTTGGTGACAAATTTTATTGCCACACCACGACAAGTACTAGGTTTCTGTCCAGAGGTAAGACTGCACTTTATTATTGGTCCTTTTCCTTCCAGCAAACAAAGCTTACGTATCATATAACACTTATAAAAGAACACTCTGTGCAGAACATGTTTTATTATGCAGAAATACAAATATAATAAAATGAATATTACACATGAAATAAAGTTAGTATTTTTAACCAGAATATAGCTTTAAAAATAAATAGTTAAGTTAAATATCTGTGTAGGGCCCTTTGCACACAGGGCTGCCTAGAAGCAGTACATCCCTCCAAATCTTTTAGTATGCCCTGACGAGACAGGTGCAGCATCCAGCCCTGCTGCAGGAGGCTTATCAAAGTCCATGGCAGGCTTCGGCTGGATGGGACTGAATGCTGTACCAAGTGGTGCCCGCATCTAGGGCCCTGTGTGTTCAGGGATGAAGAACCAGAATGCAGAAGACTGCTCAGTAGAGGGTCCAGCTCTGTCCAGAGATTTTGACAGGCAGTAGGGCTGGACGCTGCACCAGTCCCTGCCCCAGAATGGATCCAGAATGGCCCTAGCTCAGCATCTGTAAACACTCTTCTGCAGATCCTTACCTAAAGCTGTAATAGTACTTGGGTGCTTAAAGTGTTACTAAACCCAGGACCCTGCATTCACTATATCTGGTCTCCCACAGTACACACAACATGGAAATGCAATTATTTTAGTAACTACAAACTGCTAAATACCTTTTCTCAACAGCAGTTAAAGCAGTCTTGTGACTTCTATCAGTGTCCAGCAGAGCACGGGTTAAAGCTTGTAGGAGGAGTTTTCATTCTCCCCTGATTGTGCTTTGAGGCTGCATAACCCCTGACCCAGTCTGTACAGCGTTGATTGGCCCTGTACTGATTACATGCACTCTCCCAAGAAAAAAAACTCTCTAACAATACACACAAAACTGAGCATGTGCAGCTTTCCCCCAAAGTTCTGTTCTATCAGCAGATGGATTGGGAACAGTAGTAGAAGGGAAGGATCAGATAAGACAGGATTAAACATCCTTTTTACACACTGCAGAGGATTAACCCCTTAGGTTCACAGTGAGTATAACAAGCATGCTTTACTGCATATACAGACTGATTTTACTGTTGTGAGTTTAGTAACACTTTAATGCAGGACTACAGAACACTTACCTCCATTCCAGGAACATGACTGTTGAATCCCCTGCTGCCCTCTGACATCTTCTCCCCCAGGCTTCTTCCGGGTGACTGGCTTCCGGCCTCTGGCACTATCCCGCATACACCCCTCCGTGTACTTGAAAAAGAACATTGTAAACAAGCAGGTACATTTGTTTTATTGCAGAAGGGACATAGCATGTGTCATCTGCAATAAAATGCTGCCTGATTGCTTTTTTTTTTTTTTTACTGAAGATTTAAATCCACTTTAATTATTGTAGACCTAGGACATGGTAGATGTAATCCCATAGGGGAACATTTTGGCTAGTGAGGAGACCACTAGTTTACTAGAAATCGTAGGGGACAACAATGCTGAGCCACTGTAAAATTTGTGGGGAACTGTAAACGATGAGCCTTAACAATTGGTGTGTTCACTTGTTAATATTTGTCTTACAGAGCCCATTGATTGTAGATGGTAGGTGTGGAGAAGACCTGGACTGTCTACCAGGAGAACATGTAGTAAATGGAAATGGTAATAGTTTCATATATATAAACCATGCAACCACAAATAGTACTCTGATCTATATAAGTCTTCATTTAGGTCCAGTTCACACTACAAAAACGCATTCCGGATACATTTTTGTCTACAGTTCACCACACATAGGTCTGTTGCAGTTTTGATGCAGTTTGTTATGTTCCAGTATGGTTCTGTGCAGAAAAAATGCAGCACGTTCTAATTTTTTTTTTTTTTGCACCGGAAACTTACTGGAACTGACTGCACTGGTGTGAACTAAGGCCATTGGAATACATGGAAAACACTGTGCATGCATTTTTGATGCAGAAAAAAAGCTCACTGAACTGCATCTAGTGTGAACTAGCCCTTTAGACCAGTTCACACTATAGAAGCGCAGTCCAGATGTGTTCTGGATGCGTTTATGCATGCGCGTTTTTGACGCTTTTTTGGTGTGTTCTGGTGCGTATTTGATGCTTTTTTTACGTGTTCCTATGCGTTTTTGATTCTTTCCAGTTCATTTTTTTCTCTATCTTTCTTCAGTTTAAATAGGGACATGTGTGTTCCGGTGTGTTTTTGATACGTTTTACCATGTTCTAGTACAGTTCTGTGCAAGAAAAATGCAGCCTGTTCTGCTTTTTTTTCTGCAGCCGGAACGCACTGGAACTGCAAGCACTGATGTGAACTATGACATTGACAACCATATAACCTATTTTCTGTGCCTTTTGGATGCAGAAAAAAAGCAATCTGAAACACATGTAGTGTGAACTGCCCCTTATGAAGTAGTGAGGCAGCTTTCTGCTGGATTTTCTCCTCAATATAATATATACAGCAGGTATTAGCTATTAATTATCTGGAGCAACTGTTTTTATCCTGATTTCCTCCCATTTTGTAATGCCACCTAACTAGGCAAGAAGCTAGTTGAAAGACCATTGTTGCAAATTTTTCTGAAATTGTATGTGGTTAATACATTTAATGATAATATTCAGTATATTAATTTATCTTTCATATACCTTTTCACATAATTTAAATCAATTTTTCAACTGTTACCATAGTAACAAGTGGGAAAGTTGGGTCTCATTCGCATGAGCATACCAATCTGTATGCCCATGCAAAGGGCCGAATTCAGCTGCCTGGTATGCACAGGTATTCCATGCAGGGATGTGCAGGCATCCTGTTGAAATCAATGACAGGCAGCTGGCTGCATGGAACTGCATGGACCTTCACAGGCATCCTGGAGTGTACAGTCTGTCTGTGTCCTGATCAATACATCCCCAGTGGCTGAAGACGACCCTTTGCGTGGGCATATGGATTGGCACTCCTGCGTGAATGAGGCCTTGTAGTTTGACTGTCACTTTTGCAGAACAACCTGTTAAGCATGTTGACAAAATTACAAACTGTGCATAAAATGTAAATAATAATTCATACCAAATACTGTTATTATGTAGTAATCTCATAGAATTATCAGAACACAATATCCTCTCAGAAAGAAGTTTATTAAGCAACAACTGCTGCTCTGCTCCACTCAGTATTTATGTAGCTTCCAATGAGAGGTACACAGGTACCCAATAGGTTAGAAAGGGTACTCTGATGCTGAAATTTTGTACACGATGCCATAGAACCTTCAGGCAATTACATTAGCTAACATTCCTCCATGCCAGTCTCTTATTCGAGACCACGTTAAATTTAAATTTATAAAGGCACCAAAGGCCCTTGTTACAGTGAGTATAAAAAAGAATCACCCCCCCACCCCTTTTATAATAATTACATTTTGTTGCTTTGTAGCCTGAAATGAAGACAGACACAGTTTTTGTTTTTTCTGGCTGTATTTACTCAGTGTAACTTAGAACTTCCAAGTGAAAGATATAACATCAACATGTCAGAAAAGTATAAAAAAAAGTTCTAAAACAGAATCACTGAGTTGGAAAAAGGATCACCCCCTTGTGTTAGTATTTTGCTGAACTACCTTTTGCTTTAATTACAGATTTTAGTCTGTTGGGATATCTCTAATAACTTTGCACATCTAGACTGCAATATTTACCCACTCTTCTTTGCAGAACTGCTCAAGTTAAGTTAAATTTTATGGTGACTGTTTGTGGACTGCAGTCTTTAAGTCATTCTGCAGATTTTCAATTCACCTTTTTCTCCTTCCCCCACTGTGTGGTCATTTTTGCTGTGTGCTTTGGGTCATTATCGTGCTGGAAGGTAAGCCTTCTTCCCATTGACAACTTTCTGGCAGTGGGCAGAAGATTTTCCTCAAGAATTTGACAGTATTATGTCCCATCCATTTTTCCTTCTATCCTGACAAGTGCTCCAGTCCCTGCTGCAGAAAAACACCCCTACCAGGGGCGGACTGACAACTCATGGGGCCCCGGGCAATAGGAGATCATGGGGCCCCTGTGTCCTTGCCCAAACTAAAAAAAGCCTATGAAAAAGGTACCAGTAGGGGCCCCCTACTGACTCCGGGCCCTCGGGCAGTGCCCGAGTTTCCAAATGGTCAGTCCTCCCCGGCCCCTACTGTGTAACAGGACAATGCCACCTCCACGCTTTACTGTAGGAATTGTGTTTTTTGGATGGTGGGCTGTATTGGATTTCCGCCAGACATATCATTTAGTGTTGAGGCCAAATAATTCAATTTTAGTCTCATCAGACCAGAACACCTGTTTCCATGTGGCCTCAGAATCTCTGAGATTGTGGATTTGGGGTTTTCATGAGCTGTAAGCCATAATCATCACAATTATGACAACTCACGGCTTGAACTATCTTGCTTTGCATGTAATGAGTCTCTCTCATATATTAGTTTCACCTTTTAAGTTGCATTACTGAAATAAATTAACTTTTGCATGATATTTAAATTTTTTGAGTTTCACCTGTATTAGGCAGTCTTGCATTGCCATGAGGAATGTGTGTTTGAAGGACGGGCTTGCCTATGGTCTCTAATGCCCAGTACATCAGTACTTACATAGACATGTCAAGTGCTCCAGGGTTGCCCTCTGGGGCCAGAATGTGTGAAATAATTTCTTGCACTTTTTATGTTACAGCCCACTCTGTAAATTAAGCATTTTTTTTTAATAAAATACTAATTATAATAGAAAAATGGTGATGTAGGAAAGTACACCTATTTCTTGAGGGATGCATGTGGTACAGGTAGAAGCGTACTTATGCTCTCTTAGGCCAAGAACATAAGTATTTACATAGACATGTCAAGGGGTGCCTTGTGGGACTAGCATGTTTGAAGTACTTAACAGCCCCTTTTGGTGCTTCCTCTTTTTTTTGTAAGTGACGGTTTATACTGTGCTTTTTTTTTATTATAGTTTTTTTTTTTAATTTCTTATACAAACAATAGGATATCCTTCATGGCTTTATATTGCAGTTCATCCTGTAAATCAAACTTTTTTTTTCAACTGCTTATTTAATTGAAAATTAATGATGATGACCAGAACCCCACAGCAGCTATTTCCGAGTTCCATATTACTACGTCGTGATTGGCTGCTCAAGTAAAGGCCAGAGAAGCCAATGAATGCCTCTCCTTTCACATAGATCCTTCCTCCCGCTGCAGCCTAAACCCTGACAAAGAGGCACTAGTGCCCTGCACAGGATGGCAGAGTGAGTTTTGTGTAAAAGCAAAAGACTCATTTTCAGGTTTAGGTTTGCTTTAAGCCATCTGTCTATAAATCCACAAAATATCCTTTTTCTATAAGCAGGATGCAAAATCATTGAACAGAGAGGTATTTATTCCTAGTTCTCCATGCCAAAGGAAACAGCAACCAGTTGTGTAAAGATTTTCCAACATGATGTGCAATTATAATCTCTGTGCCATAGAACTTGCATTTGTGCAAGTAAGCACATGTTTTTACACAATTAGAATTCCATACACTGTCCAATTATCACCTTACTATCATTAGCAATGCTTGTTTCATTTGCTATTTTAGGGCCCTGAGCGGCTTCCTTGATACTTTGTTGTATATTAAAAAAAATTAGAAGCACTAGTGTACCGATGACCACCTTGGATCTCTTTTGAAATCTCATTTGCTGCTGTTGGGATTTTGAACATTCCAAATTTCATCATTCAAATTTTGCTGAAATCGTAGAAAAGATATGTGGCATCTGTTACACTAAACATGGCCGCCGAACAAGCAATAATAATGCTGAAAAATGATAGCAGGCGGCTTTCACAATTCTTTTAAACATAGAGAACATTTGTCTGACAGGTGTGAAAACAGGACGATGTGTAGCACTGAACAGTACTCATTCCACCTGTGAGATATACGCCTGGTGTCCTGTTGAGAATGAATCATTGACAAGGTAATGTAGTTGCATGATTCCCTGTTGTTCTGCATATCACAAAAACCACATGTGACTGAAGGTCAGCTCACCCCCAAAAAAAGATATCCTGGGGAGACACAGGTATATGAATCTGTGTCCAAACTAAGGTTGTATTGTCCATAGTGGACATTGCTTCCCAGGTACACTCCCTCCCCAGCCATTGTGCCCATCACATTGAAAGCCATACGGATGAGATTTGTTCTAGCGGTAAGCGGTGCCTGATAGGAAACTGGGAGACTAGTTCCCCATCAGGTCCCCTTTATTTTTGATTGACAGCTCACATAATGGGAGGATTTATAGCTGCTTCATATCTTCCCACTGCCTAGTGCTGTCAATTACAGGCAAGGCAGACCTGAACTTGTCTCTCAGAGCACCCCATCAGGCTCTGCCCACTGTTAGTTTAGCATGACTGAATCATTGGTTGCTAAGACGTGGGCCGCCTTCGTCCAAGCAACTAATGAAGTAAATATAAAACACATTCATATGTTAACCACTTCAATACCAGGCACTTATACCCCCTTCCTGCCCAGGCCAATTTTCAGCTTTCAGCGCTGTTGCACTTTGAATGACAATTGTGTGGTCGTGCAACACTGTACCCATATGAATTTTTTTGAATTTTTTTTCACATAACTAGAGCTTTCTTTTGGTGGTATTTAATCACCACTGAGTTTTTTATGTTTTGCTAAACAAAACAAAAAACACCTGAAACGTATTAAAAAAAACGCACTTTTCTTCATTTCTGTTATACAATTTTACAAATAAATAACATTTCATCATAAATTTAGGTCAAAATCTATTCTGCTACATTTCTTTGGTGAAAAATAATAATAATAATTGAATTTGTATTTTTTTGCAAATGTTTCTATTATTTGTTTTATTTTTTATTACATTTTTCTTTTTTTAACTATTTGATTTTTCAGCACACTGTGACCAAAGCAATACAATGTTGCCATAGTAACATTGAACTACTCTGGGCAAGTGATCAGGATTTTTTTTTAACGCAGTATAATTGCTAATACCAATGTATTTCATTGATATTTGCAATCATTGTTACTGAATGAAACTGATTCATTCAGTCTTTTGTTGTGATTAGCTGTGATTGGGGAAAGCTGATCACATAATACAGATGGGCTGTGATTGGCCCTGTCTGTATCATGTGACTGCCTTGACTAGTCATAGCTAACAACATAATTGTATACAATGGATGGCATGAGAGGAAACCATCCATTGTATACAATTGACATGTGATCTGCTGTTATTGGTCACAGCGGTCACATGACACTGGCAATAGGTCGGTGTAGTGATATGTCTTTGGCTGTGTCCCGTGGACACAGCCAATGACAGATCGTGCCACTGCGCGGCCCCGCGGCTGCGGGAGTGGCTCGTTTTGACAGGACGTCATTTGACGCCCAGTCACAAAGGCGAGTGTTCCGCCCCGCAGTCAATCTGCCATAGGCCGGGTGGGAAGGTGTTAATAAAGTAATGAACACCCCCTTCCCCCTGTACATTGGTCTTAATTACTGTCAGTTTGCTTATCTGTGAGCTGGTGGTAATTCTTTTAGAATCTGTCACAGCTAAAGCGAGAGATTTTAAAAGTGACGGTAGTGAGAAATACCTAAATCTGGCACATGTGTCGGTACTTGTACTGAAACTGGTGCAGGGCTTGGATTAGGTGCAGGCCATATTAAAGTGGCCATACTGCCAGAAAAGTGACATTACTGCTTTATTGAATTCCCCTGATCATCTAAAGCAGTAGACTCCAAACTATGGCCCAGGGGCCGGATGTGGCCCTTTGCTTGCCTATATCTGGCCCTTAAGGCATTTTTCCTCCCACTGACATCAACGATGGGGCATAATTCCTACCGCTGACATCAACCATAGGGCACTACCATTCCTATTGACAGCAACAATCAGGCACTTTTCCTTCTACTGACACCAACGAGGAGGCACTATTCCTCCAACTGACACCAACGATGGGGAACAAAAGATGGGACATTGTTCACTCCCACTGGGCACAGTCTGGCCCGCCTAAAGTCTGAAGGATGGTAAACTGGCCCTTTGTTTAGAAAGTTTGCAGACCCCTGATCTAAAGCTTTTTTTTTTTTTCTTAAATTGCTCCTCCCCCTTTTTCGTTAAAACACAAACAAACCTGCAAAGCACTTCTCACTCTCTTTATGCTCTCGTGCTGCTTTTCACATCTTTCTCTGTCTTCCTCTTCCTCCTTCTCTCCTATTATCCACAGGTTCTCTTACTATTTGAATGACATCCAGAGTCATTCAGCCTGCTTCTGGGATCCCAAGCTATCATGAACAGATCCTTGGGGGTGCGTCATTATCTCAGCCAGGGCTCAAAATAAAATTATATAAAGAACATAATGTGTGAATCTCTCTCTGCAGCATTGGAGACCACTGCTGACTCCAGAGTTGAGGAGGAAAGACTCTGCTTGTCATGGGACAGGCCAGAGGACACCTCAAAAAATGTTATGCATAATGCAATTTAAAAAAAAAAGATGTGGGTTGGTCCTTGGTTTCTTATACGTCTTGGATACTTCAACAGTTGGATCCTCCTGCCATAATTATGGATTCTATTCCTGTCTCCATGGTAGATTTTGGAGTTCCCGCTCACCTTTGTGTGTCATAACCTGTTGGTTGAAGGCTCCATTTAGTGAAAGAGAGGTCATGCTGCGGGGGACAGTGCTGCAGTAAAGGTGAGTATTACAGTTTATAGAAAAGCAGCTTTTTTATTTTTTTACTACTGCTGGTCTGTTTATTTTTTTTAAACTGGAGTTCTTCATTAATATTTCCATGCCCACCTGTACATCTACTTTAGGCTTTTACTGTTTGATGCTTACAAAGGCACGTGTCTGTTGGATCACTGTGTAAACATTTACAAATAAGATTTCCTTATTCACTGACGTAAATGTGTTTATGTACTTATTAATTATCGTCCTGTTTTATTAGTGTATCTTCTTTAGTGCAGAAGTTAAACAAGAATTATAGTGCATTGGGTAAGTAGGGATTTTTTATTTTGAAGCAAGCAACTGTTGAGAAAACACTAAACTTTAAAGGGATATTAAACCCCAAACCAAAAAGTGTAATATATTACAGCATACCAATCATTAGATGTGGTGGTTGCATTTGTTTTCCTTTTTTTAGGCTTTTCCCCCCCTCTGTTTTCATCTGGTGATTTGGCCAGTAACACACCTTCTATATTAGAGTGCCCCAATTCTGGATAAAGAAGCACAAGGGGCACCTTTGAACAGCAGCATGATTAGCCTGCAGGGAGGGGAGTGTTAGGTGCATTAGCAGATTTAGATACACAAATAAATTGAAGCCACATATCAGCTAACACTTTATAGGCGTCCCTCAAGGCTCCGTCTTCGGGCCCCTTCTCTTCTCCATCTACACCTCCTCCCTTGGCTTCTCACGGCTTCAACTACCACCTATATGCCGACGACACACAAATCTATCTCTCAACCCCCCACCTCACCCCCTCAGTCTCTGCCCGAATCACACACCTACTGAGCGACATATCTGACTGGATGTCGCTCCACTTCCTTAAACTGAACCTCTCCAAGACTGAGTTTCTTGTCTTCCCCCCAGCCCTGACACCACCCCCTCTTGACTTCTCCATCATGTCCAACAACGCCACCATCAAACCCGCCCCGCAGGCCAGAGTACTTGGTGTCATTCTGGACTCCAACCTATCCTTCCAGCCCCAAGTCCAATCTTTAACAAACTCGTGCAGACTCCACCTCCGCAACATCGCCAAAATCTGCACGTTCCTAACCCCAGAAACCACTAAACAGCTCATCCACTCCCTCATCGTATCACGACTCGACTACTGCAACTCCCTCCTCACTGGCCTGCCTCGCCGCTGGCTATCCCCGTTTCAGTCAATCCTGAATACGGCTGCCAGACTCATTCACCTTTCCAACCGTTCCATCTCCGCCACCCCCCCTCTGCCATTTCCTCCACTGGCTTCCGATTACGCAACAGATCAAATTCAAAATCCTAACGCTGACGTACAAAGCTGTTCATCATACTGCCCCAAACTATATCACCGACCTAATATCCAAGTACCACCCAGCACGCACACTCCGCTCCTCACAAGACCTCCTTCTCTCTAGTTCCCTGGTCTCCTCCTCCCATGCCCACCTTCAGGACTTCTCCAGGGTGTCACCCATCCTCTGGAACTCCCTGCCCCAACCCATCAGATTATCACCTACTCTCCTCTCCTTTAGGTGCACCCTGAAAACCCATCTCTTCAGGAAGCCTACCCCACCCCCTGCTAACTTGCCGACCTCCTCCACTCTTCCTACCACTCCATCCCCCACAGCTATCTCCTCCTGTGCCACCATCCCCTCCCTCCTAGATTGTAAGCTCGAAAGAGCAGGGCCCTCTATCCCCTCATGTTTTGCATTGTATTGTTATTGTTCTGTCACATGTTCTGTCCCCCTTTGTAATGTACAGCGCTGAGCGAACTATCGGCGCTTTATAAATACTGTATAATAATAATAATAGGCAGTTACAGCAAACCTTTTTTCCTTTTGGGATAAAGGTTTTACATGAATAAATAAAAGCTGATCATTGTAAGCACCCCTGTTAGTGGTAAATGGTTTGTCTTATTGTGGTAACTGAGACATTCTGCTAGAGAGCTTGTTCTTTTTAAAAACTAAAGACATAGTGGCTGGATCACCAGATGAAAGTAGTAGAAAGAGAGCCTTAAAAAAGAAAAATAATGTAGCCATCACATCTAAGAATGTTTTTTTTACTCTTCTTCTGTGAAGATTTAAATGCCGCCTATTTGGTCTAAAACCCTTAACTGGACAGGAAGTGAGGGTAAATCTCCCAACGGGGGACATAGGCAGCAAATCCTCACAGAGATTCTTATTCCTCATCATCATTTCATCCCACTACAAAATGTGTCCATATGTACCCAAAAGTGAGCAGAGACAGCACTAAAAGGTTGTCAAATGTCCTAACTACTCCCCTTTGTATAAAAAAAAAAAAAAAAAAAAAAAAAAGGCTGGAGTTGGACTTCAGGTTTTCCTAACTTTTATAACTGGAGAGAAGCTATGTAAAGCATCCCTTTCAGGATAGAATGTTGCAGAACATATTGGGCTTCGTAATAAAAAACCCAAGGCAGTCCATGGATGCTCACTTTTACTGCCTCTGTGTAACTGAAAATTCACATGAGTGCAAATGAGGAAAACCAGAACCGTTACATAAGAGCTCATTAATTCAAAGACAAGATATTAATTTGATGTTTGCTTGTAGTTAAGCCAGTATTAGCTGATCACTGTTGGGGCCTCCTTAAAGTTGATATTTGTTAAATAAAATCATGATATCTGTTTGGTGGCTAGTTATAAATGTGACAATAAAGTACAACCCACAACCTGTATGAACATAGCCAAGGAGCTAGCGGTACAAAATAATGAGTTTATTACAGGAAAGTCAGATGATGCAGTTTATTATGTAATTTGCAACGGAAAAAAAAAAGCTAAGTAAATGCACTGAGATCCCAAAGAAAACCAACTCTTTGTTCAAAGCATCTAGCCCCAAATCCCCCTCAGGGCTTGTTCACACTTGACTAAATTTTTAACTCTTACCAAATGCTCCTATAGCTTAAGTATAGGCGTTAGACAGGTGTTAGACAGGCATTAACCAGCTTTAGTATGGGCGTTAGACAGGCGTTAATGAGCCTTAGTATGGGCGTTAGACAGGCGTTAATGAGCTTTAGTATGGGCGTTAGACAGGCGTTATTGAGCCTTAGGGCTTGTTCACACTAGGCTGTTTTGCCAACGCTTGCCAAACGCCCCTATAGCGTTTGGCAAGCGTTGGTCCGGTGTTTGCGGAGCGTTTTTAACGCTCGGCAAACGCTCCACAAACGCCGCATGCGCGGTTTAGCAGCGGTTGCTAGGCGTTTTGCCGAGCGTTAATAACGCCCCACAAACGCCTATAATGCATTTGAGTGGTGTTACCGCTCCGCAAACGCCCCGCAACCGCGTCGCAACCGCACCGCAAACGCCGCCGGGCGTTTGCGGAGCGGCACCATAGACGAGAATAGGAGGCTTCAAAGCCTCCTGACTCGACCAGAGGCGTCCGTTTTGCCGCGACGCAACGCGACGCGACGCAAACGCTCCTGTTAGAACAGCACCATGTGCTGTAATGTGCAGAGTTGGCAGAGGCGTTTGGGAAGCGGTAAAAACGCTTCCCAAACGCCTCTCTGCCGCCTGCACACAAGGCTAGTGTGAACGTAGCCTTAGTATGGGCGTTAGACAGGCGTTAATGAGCTTTAGCATGGGCGTTAGACAGGCGTTAATGAGCCTTAGCATGGGCGTTAGAAAGGCGTTAATGAGCCTTAGTATGGGCATTAGACAGGCGTTAATGAGCCTTAGCATGGGCGTTAGACAGGCGTTAATGAGCTTTAGCATGGGCGTTAGACAGGCGTTAATGAGCTTTAATATGGGCGTTAGGCATTAATGAGCTTTAGTATGGGCGTTAGACAGGCGTTAATGAGCCTTAGCATGGGCGTTAGACAGGGGTTAATGAGCTTTAGCATGGGCGTTAGACAGGCGTTAATGAGCTTTAACCTCCTCGGGGGTATGATTCTTTCAGATTTTTTGTGCTGAATGCGGTACCATTTTTTTGCATGGAAATATGTAGTTTTTTATTGTAGGCTGTAATTTTTAGGAATAACTCACTGAAATCTGTACGAACAAGAGTCTAGTAAACATTCCGGATATGATAAAACTTGAAACACGAAATCATAAATTATAATTTAATAAATAATCATAAAAAATAATAATATAATAATAATAATACATTTAATTCAATAATATAATCAAACCAAAAACACTGAAATTTGAAATACAGAGGCAAATTCGCACATCGCTGAGCAAAGTCGCAAAATTGTTTTCAGTGTCTGATGACGAATTTCCCCACGAATCATTATCACTCAATTCTGTAAGTGGTTCTGATTTACTATCGCTGTTCTAAAACCGCTTTTGACATAAAGGGACGCTTTTTGGACGCCATGGACTTTTCTAAGTTTCCAGGCAGAAAGAACAGTCAAAATGCAGGCAGGGCACAGGACAAAGCAGTAGGGACAAAATATATGTGAAATGCATTGAAACAGCAATGACAGCAAAAATGAAATTTTTTAAAAAAAATTTCAAATTTCCCGCCGGTTCCGGCGCCCGTACGTCCCGACGTCACAGGGACCGGAACACGGAAGCCGGATGCCGGCATCGGCCGGAGGAGATGGCCGGGGACGCTGCAGGGGACACATTGCAGGAGCGAAGGACAAGGTAAGCGCTGCAGGGACTCCCTGAGCAACGCCGCATGGTAAGCCCAAGTGTAGCTCAGGGTTACCTCTCTTGGTACTGAAATTTTACCCCGAGCTACACTCGGGAAAACCGCTAAGGAGGTTAATATGGGCGTCAGACAGGTGTTAATGCTTTAATATGGGCGTTAGACAGGCGTTAATGAGCTTTAGTATGGGCGTTGAACTGTTTTTTTACATGCGTTAATAACGCTCCCCCCAAACGCCCTACATACAGTTTTGATGCTTTTGACAAGTGTTAAAACCACACCACAAACTAAATAAACTTTAATGTTATTAATGTGCTGCAACCACAAACGCCTGCCAGTGCATTTGAGGAGCATTACCTTAGACTTGAATGGGGAGGCGTTGAAAGGCTTCAAACTCCTCTTGACTCGACATGAGGCTTCAATTTTGAAACAACACGACGCTAATGCTTCATGTTTTGATAATGTGAACTTCACTGTGTGCTGCCCATAGTATAATTTGCATAGGTGTTTGAGAGGCATTAGCTTTATGGACAACTTCTGACTGTGAAAGCCATCTGAATGTCACCTGTGATTTGTTACAAAATGTCTTACTGCAAGAGAACCAGGGGTCAGTGGGATGGACAAGATGAATGTCTTCATCCTGGCTAGCCTAGAATACCCGAAACAAATGGTTACAGTACATTATATGTTACGACCAA